CTCTACAAATGGTTGTATGCATTTTGGAAGAAATTCAGAAGGAGTCATAGGATATGTGGATTCAGACTCTACAGGGGATCATTCATAGGGTATGTATTTACCCTTGGAGGCTGTGCTCTCAAATAGAAAGCTAGTTAATAGAATACATAGCTTTACCTACAACGGAGGCAGAGTACATGGCCATTACTGAAGATTGTAAGGAGGCTATGTGGTTGAGGGGATTAATTGGTTAGATCAATAAAGACTTGTAGATATCTACAGTGTATTGTGATAGGCATGAGCTATATTTCGACTATGGATCAGATGTTCCATGAGAGGACTAAGCACATTGACGTTATGTATCATTTTGTGCGTGAAGTAATTGTCGTGATGACATTGTAGTTAGTGAGATTGATACCTAGGAGAATCCTGCTGACATGACGACAAAATCACTTCCTATTGCTAAGTTTGAGCATTGCTTGAACTTAGTAGGAGTTTGTCATTGATTTAGCACATTGGAGCTTGTAAGAGGTGGAGTGATGTTTACTTGGAGAAGTGTATTTGGATTTCATTGTGTTGAAATTTGGCTCAAGGTGGAGATTGTTGTGGTGTGACCCAAATTCTTTAAGTTTTAGGAGTAGTAGTTGAGTTGGTCTTGGAGAAATCAACTTTTGGATTGGGACAATGATTGCAGCATTTTTGCTAGCTGGACGCTTGAGCGCTTGAAGCAGAACAACCTAGCCTGCTTCTTGCCAGATTGTCGCTCAAACGACATCAATGTTGCTGGCTGTCACTCGATGCCGCTTAAGTGATAGTATTATATGGGGAATTTCGGATTTTTTGCAATTTAACTCGTTTTGAACTCCTACTCATCTTCAACTAGGTCTTTTTGGTGTCTCTATATAAACAAACCATCGTGTATTGTTAACCACATGAAAATCTTGAGAGATTGAGAGAGAACTCTATAACATCTTGAGAGCTTATATTCGATTTAGAGTATTGAATCTTAACATTGTGAACACATTCCTATTGATTATAGTGAATTTTCTCCTCCTTGCCCGTGGTTTTTTCCCAAAGTGGGTTTCTACGTAAATCTGTGTTTTATTACTTTTGTATTTATTTCATTATTGTCATATCTTGTGATCCGTATTCATTATAATCTTCATTGCAACAAATACTTTCTACCATAGCATTAGCAACAGGAAGAATTAAATTTAGTGTTGCAAGACCTGTAAACTAGATATACCTCATTCTTATTCGTGATAACTAACAACAATTTTGTTACTTGGAAGTGTAAATGCATTCTAGACTTGTAACGGAAGCTATTTTCTCCAGTAAATGCAATTTTCTAAAATTATAATGCAATTTTCTAAAATTATATGTTTGTTGTTCACAATGTCAATTTCCCATTGTGAATGGGTTGATTAAAATAATTTCACAAAAGCACAGCAATGAGCAAACAACAAGCATAATCAACTCTTTTACATTTCTTTTAAAAACCAACACCGACTGTAAAAGTTCTACTAATAATGAAAATGCTACTTAGATTATCAAATAATTAACGTCATCTATGCAATAAGTCCATATAGTGATGCCACTCCAGAGGACATTAAAATCATAAGCCCAGCAATTGATAATGTTCGTTTGAAGAACTAACAACAATCTTCAGCCTAAGAGTGAAGAAAGGTTTATTTGGATTGAATATTAGAAAATAGAGATTGAAAATTGTGGATCAGAGAGAGAGGTTTATTTGACTTGAATAATAGAGAATCGAGATTGAAAATTGAAGATTGGAGTTGAAGTATTTATTTGTTTCAAAAGGTAAGAAAGAGAAACGACAAACATAAAATTGAAAAAAAAAATAAAAAAAATAAAAAAAATAAAAATGAAGAAGGAGGAGGAGGAGGAGAAAATTTTTGGAATAATTCTGCTCCTCTCGGGATCGGAAACAGGTGCTGCCTGTTTCCTT